AAGTAGGTAACATCCTCAGTGCTAGAAGGGAGAGGGGTTTGCAAAGAGGAGGAGGAGGAGGAGTGCTTCATCACTGGAGGCTTTCAAGAAGAGACTGGATAGCCACTTGTCAGAAATGGTATTGTTCTGCCCCAGCTCCGGATTCCCGAGGATATTGACACACACCAACGGTCCTTACCAAATTTATTAAGTAGCAAGAATAAACCAAAGTCCGGCAAAGGTTGGCAACCAGCCCAGAAAACAAGATACGATAAGACTTTTCCAAAAATGCTCTGATGATAATTACAAGTTGTTTCCAGCAAGAAACTTACTAAGGGCATGTGACTTAGATAGGCTAAGGGAGTGGCCAATTATCCTCAAGCCTTACTCTCGAGGAGACCTCCTCCTCCTCCTGAGTAGCCACTCCTGCCTTTTGGCAGCCCTGCGTGCTCGAGCATTGAGGAGAGGCTCCTCCACTTCACTCTCTCCACTTGAAGGAACCACTGGAGGTTCTGAAGGCCCTGGCTGAGTCTCTGCCTTCTCCTCTCCACAATAATTTCTCCCTTCTAGCACTGATGATGTTACCTAGTTTGGGTCATGAATCATCTGCAAGAAAACAACCAAGCTCAGAGAGCACCAAGGACCTCTCAATTCAACGTATGATGATTATTTTTTTTTTTTTACATATGTCGAACAAATGTAAGCAGGCCATTGCTTTAAAAGAATTTAAGCTGGATGCCGGGAGAGGACATGAGCAAGCTTGCCTTTCAAACAGGATGCAAAAGAAGCAAAGACATTCTCGTAGCTCGGGAAGGAGGAGAGGTAGGCAAAAAGGCACCAGATTTATCCTTTAAACCTCCAAAATAAAGGAAGCAGGATGAAGGGTTTGATCTCGTCCACTTGGCAAGAAGGTTCTAACTGTTGCAAAAACAGCTGTTAGCAGGCTCTATGCAAACCCTGGAAATTATTATTATTATTATTTTTCTGCAGACCTGATATAATCAACCGTACATACGGGAATTCTCTTCCTTTGGGGGAAAAAAAAAAGACGTTGGCATCTGAAAAAAAGTCTTAGGCAAAAATATCCGCCCTGATAATCTTATTTGCCAAAATCTGTTGATTCTCGGACAAGATTTCTGTCTTTCTGAAAAGAAAATACATTCTCTGCGAGGTTTGTTCCTTTGGTGCTCTCTGAGCAGGGTAGCTTTCTTCCAGATGTTTCATGACCCAAACTAGGTAACATCATCAGAGCTAGGAGGAAATGGGGTTGTGGAGAGGAGGAGGAGGAGGAGGAGGAGGAGAAGGAAGGGGAGGAGGACTGTGGAGTCTTCAGAATTCTCTGAGCTTGGTAGTTTTCTTCCAGATGTTTCATGACCCAAACTAGGTAAGATCATCAGCGCTAATGGTGTTACCTGGTTTGGCAAATGAAAACAACGAAGCTCAGAGAGTACCAAGGAATGCTCATTTCAACTCTGAGCTATAAATATTCTCCTTTATCGATAAGTAAGAGATTCATACTTCTTAGCCAAAATGGTCCTGGGATTCTGATGAGGACAGGTGACTTACTACAGGTGTTGTGTGAGTCTGTTCTTTGATGTGCCAATGTTCTCCGAGAAAGAGGCCAATCCTTTGTGGGCTCCTTCAGATGGGGGGACAATCCCTCCTTAAGCAAGTCTGAAGGCTTAGAATAACTTCATTGTCAGTTTAAATGTACCTTAACCGGCATACATTAAAATTGGTGGCGCAGCAGACTAAAGCACTGTTAAGTAACACCAGCTGCCTGCAATTACTGTGAGTTCAAATCTCACCAGGCTCAAGGTTGACTCAGCCTTCCATCCTTCCGAGGTAGGTAAAATGAGGACCCGGATTGTGGGGGCAATAAGCTGACTTTGTATAAAAAAGAACACCACTTGGAGGGGGGGGGGAAAGCCCTACTAAGCAGGTATATTCAAAAGTATGAAGGCTATTGCTTAACGCATTGTAAGCCACCCTGAGTCTCCGGAGAAGGGCGGCATATAAATCGAACCAATAAATAAATAAATAAATAATAAAAAAATAAATAATAGTAATAAAAAAATGAAATGAAATTTTCTTGTAGTTGCAAGACAACCACAGTAGTCTCTTTTTCAGAAGAACCTGAAGCTTTATAATGCAACGGGACTTGCTTAATTTTCTCCCAATGTCTTGTGTTACTTTTCTCTAAACCAGTCCTTCTGCGTAAATAGTTATCGCTTCTGTCAGTCATTTTCCACATAAGTGTTTCTGGAGGATTTGTGATTTGTGAACTGAAGGGAAGCAGCCAGGAATGTCAAACTTGATTTCATTGAGGGACACATCAGGGTTGTGTTTGACCTTGAGGAGCGGGGGGGGGGGCATGGTGGGTGTGGCAAGGGTGGGCGTGGCCAGCTTGACATCACCCGTGTCGGGAGTGGAGGGGGTGCCCGTGGTGGCCTGAGCGCTCTGCCAGTGAAAACGGGTTCCAGAGCTCCGTTTTCGGCTGTGACAGCCTCCTTCAACCCTCTGCCAGGGAAAACGGAGATCCATTTTCAATGGCAGAGACACGGCGGGTCAGTCCTTCGCTGTTTCCAGGGTGGCCCCACGGGCCAGATCTAAGCACCCCACGGACCGGATCCAGACCCCCCGGGCCTTGAGTTTGACACCCCTGAGCCAAGCTGTTCAAAAGGCTTTGGTGGACACGTTCGAGACTGGAGAAGGCCTTGAGCTGACATGAAGAACTTCCTCAAGGACAGCCCTGCAGCCTCTGGGGTACAACCAGAAGTGGGTTTCAGCAGGTTCTGACCAGTTCTGGAGAACCGGTAGCGGAAACTTTGAGTAGTTTGGAGAATGGGTAAATACCACCTCTGACTGGCCCCGCCCCCATCTATTCTCTGCCTCCCAAGTCCCAGCTGATCGGGAGGAAATGGGGATTTTGCAGTAACCTTTCCCTGGATTGGGGAAGGAATGGAGATTCTACAGTATCCTTTCCCTGCCAGGCCCACCAAGCCACGCCCACCAAGCCACACCCACAGAACCGTAGTAAAAGTTTTTGAAACTCACCACTGGGTACAACGTGTTTCCAGGTCTGTCCCAGATGTTCTTAGGTTATGTCACAAGTCTCTTTTTCTAACTAATTTGGACCCCATTGCCTCCAATGACCTGTAGGGTTAAAGAAGGAAATTGCATTGCCCCATTTGTGCCACCTCAATTGGCACAAAGCAGAGTTCCTAATTTTTTTTAACTCTATGGCTAGGTTGATTTCATTTTGAGGTGAGAAGTTGGTTTATGTTAATGAGCACTATCTTGTGCATATTGAACCGGAAAACCAGTTTGATATGAGTGGTTAAGTACCGGGAGAGACTGGGAGATTGTGAATTCTAGTTCATTCTTAAGCGTGAGAACCAGCTGGGGCAATCATTTACCTAAACTCTCACAGTTTTTTGTACCTTGAGTTGGTCAAATCAAGTCAAGCCAAGCCAAGCCATCAAGTCAAGTCAAGTCAAGTCAAGTCAAGTCAAGTCAAGTCAAGTCAAGTCAAGTCTTTATTATGGCCATAGAGTAGCAGAAATGTACAAAATAAAGGCAGATTATAAACTTAATAATCAATATAATGTGGTGATTGATCAATGATAACACATTAAGGTGCTTAATCATGTCTAATTAGGTGAGGGTCTGCCTTTTGGTGAACCCTCCCTTCTTATGGCACTCTACCTGTGACCAGGGAGGAGAAAATAGCACAATACAGAAATACTTAGCTATCGCACAGATTAAAAACCGATGTTGTGCGGGCAAATAGTTGACTGTATTTATTCCTGGACAAAAATGCATGGCTGTGAAAAATCACAAATACTAGATTATCCCAGGATGATCCTGTGATTCTATCTGAGCGAGATTGTCTGTGCTTTGTTTTAATTGTCCTGGTTTTGGGGAAATTGAGATCTTTAAGAGGCTAGCCTGGCTTTCTCAGCTGTTCCTCCAAACTTTCCAGAAAATAATAATAATAATAATAATAATAATAATAATAATAATAATAATAAAATAATAATAGTAGTAGTAGTAGTAGTAGTAGTAGTAGTAGAAGAAGAGAAGAAGAAGAAGAAGAAGAAGAAGAAGAAGAAGAAGAAGAAGAAGAAGAAGAAGAAGAAGGCTACAGTCTTCAGGTGAGCAGCCAAGGTGAAGTACCGGCGTTCTTTGGGGAGAAGAGAGACCCCGAATCGATCCTCGAAAAGAAACAAGGGTTCAAAGTACGGGGGGGGGGGGAAAGCACGAACGTCTCATTTCCATCCGTCCGAGATATGTCACGGAGGAGGAGACAACAACTGCGAAGTGCCCTGCTCGCTTCGGAGAGCCAGCCGGGGCAGGGAGAAGCTACGAGGAGAGCTGGCGGCGTCCACGAGAAGCTCTTCAGCCCGCGGACACCCGAAGCGACAACCCCCCGTCTGCCTTTCGGTCGAGCCTCCCCTTCTCGCGGCACTCTATCTGCCACCCAGGCTCGGAGGAGGAGAAAGTCCAGGTGATTTCCTTCCTTTTCCCGGCGTTGCCAAGCGCTCGCCTTGGGACCGAGGGTCTCCGAGGAGGGTCCGCGGCCAAAGGGGGCGGCGGGGCGGGGAGGGGGGGAGGGAGGAGGGCGGCGGGAGCGGCGCCGGGAGGGGGGAGACTCGGCACCGCCGAAAGGCAGCCCGGCTGAATGGGGGGGGGGGAAGGGAAGGGATGCACCCCCGATTTCAGCAGCGACCCCCCCCACCCCCGTGCAAAGCCTGGCGGGGGCGCCGGAGCTGCCGCCGTTGCCGAGCGCGCTGCCTTCCCAGGCGCTGCCCTTCGCTCCCGTCACCTGCCAGGTCCGGGGCCTCCGCCGGCTCCCCCGAGGCGGTGGCGGGCGCTGGGGCTGGGCTGGGGGGCGGGGGCGGGGGGGGAGGAGGGCGGGCGGCGATTGGAGGGCAGCGGGCGGGGGGCGGGGCCGGCGGCGCTGCGAGCTGCCCTGGAGCCCCAGCCGGGAGGGGCGCTCAGTCGGCCTCCCGCCCAGCTCCCGCCGCCGCGGCTCCCCTGTGCCCGGGCAGCGCCGGCAGGCAGGCAGGCGGGCGGGCAGGGCTCCTCCGGGGCGGCGTTGGGCCATGGGGCGACCCGCAGCGGTCCCGGGGAAGCCTCCGGCGCCGGAGGAGGCAGCGTGAGCCGGGCCGGCCAGGAGGCGGCAGGGCAGGTAGGCAGGCGGGCAGCCCCAGCGCCCCGGGCGGCAGGTGGGGCGGCTCCCACCCACGTGGCGGAGGGCAGGGATGGGCAGGTTGGCCCCGGGGCTCTTTTCCTCCCTCCCTCCTTCCTTTTTCTCTTTCATTTCCTCTCTCCCTCCCTCCCTCCCCCTCCTTTCTTTTCTCTCTCTCCTTCCTCCCTTCCTTCTTTCTCTCCCTCCCTCCCTCCCGTTTTCCTCCCTTTCCCCTTCTTTTCTGTCCTTCCTCCTTCCCTCTTTCCCTCCTTCTTTTCTCTTCCTCCCTCTCGTTTTCCTCCCTCCCTCCCTCTTTTTTTTCTCTTTCTCCTTCCTCCTTCTTCCTTCCCTCCCCTCCCGTTTTCCTCCTTTACCCTTCTTTTCTGTTCTTCCTCCTTCCCTCTTTCCCTCCCTTCTTTTCTCTTCCTCCCTCTTGTTTTCCTCCCTCCCACTCTCCTTTCTTTTCTCTTTCTCCTTCCTTCCTTCCTTCCTTCCTTCCTTCCCTCCGCATCCCTTTGGCGGACGCTCCTGCCCGGGACTTCGGGGCCGGCGATCCGTCTTTCGCTTCGGCGCGGCTGCTGCTGCTGCTGCTGCGGCGGCCGTGGGGCTGGAGCGGCCCCGGAGGCGACCCGCAGGCGCTGGGCTTTGTTGGGGCGAGCGCGGAGCCGGGCGCTTCACCTCCCAGGCGAGAAGTCGGGCGGGCGGCGGGCGGGCGGCGGTTGCTTGTCTTGCGCTGCCCGGGCTCGGTGCGCGGAGCCGGCGTGGCTGAGCGGTGCCTGCGCTCCAGAGGCGCGGCGCGAAGCCGCTTTGGAAGCGAAGGCTGCGCTCTTGGCTTGGGGGCCGGTTTCGCGCCTGCCCCGCCCGGCTTCCAATTTGTCGGCTAAGGGCTCTTCGCTTCGCTCGGCGCTCGACGGGAGTTGTTGGGGGTCCCGAGGGCAGCGAAGGCCTGCGGAGAGCTCGGCGGGCCGGGGCAGTCTACCGGGGCATGCCGCTCCCCACGCGGGAAGCCTTCGGGAGGCTCCGGCCGGCCTTCCTGCTAGACCGCGGACGGGCTGCATCTCTGCCCCGCTCTCTGCCCGCTGAGGGTCGGCGCAGGTGGGAGCCGCTTCGCCTACCAGGGCTGGAAAGGCTCGCCCGCAAACCCCGGCCTTCCACGGCTCTTCCTGGGCTGAAAGTCGGGCTGCAGCCTTTCTCTCCTCCTCCTCCTCCTTCGGCTTCTGCCCTCGCGGTGGGGAAGGAGTTGGAGCTCCGCGTTGACGCTTCGCCTCTCTTCCTTTCCAGGCGGTAAGAAAGTCACCGGGGAGCGGCGCTCAAAATGGGAATCCGGATTGCGCTGCTGCTTCTGGGGACCTTTGCGCTGGCCGAGCCCGCCAGAGGTAAGGAGGCGAAGGACGCTTCACTTGGGCTTTTTCTCCTGATGCCTTTTCTGAAATTGCCTAATAGGGACCCTGGAGACAGAGCCTTTTCTCCTCTCCTCCCTCCCTCCCTCCCTCTTTCCTTCCTTCTTTTCTCCTCTCCTCCCTCCCTCCCTCCCTCTTTCCTTCCTTCTTTTCTCTTTTCTCTTTTTTCTTCCTTCTATCCTTTTCTCTCTTTCCTCCCTCCCTCCTTCCCTTTCTCTTTTTCCTTCCTTCCTTCTATCCTTTTCTCTCTTTCTTCCCTCCCTCCTTCCCTTTCTCTTTTTCCTCCCTCCCTCCCTTCTTTTCTCTTTTCCCTTCCTTCTATCCATCCTTTCCTCTTTTTTGTTCCTTCCTTCCTCCCTCCCCCCTTTCCTTCCTTCTTTTCTCTTTTTCCTTCCTTCCTTCTATCCTTTTCTCTCTTTCCTCCCTCCCTCCCTCTTTTCTCTTTTTTCTTCCTTCCTTCTATCCATCCTTTTCTCTTTTTTGTTCCTTCCTTCCTTCCTCCCTCCCTCTCTCCTTCCTTCCCTTTTCTCTTTTCCTCCCTCCCTCCTCCTTTCCCCCTTTTCTCTCCTTCCTTCCTTCCCTCCCTCCCTCCCTCCTTCCTTCTCTTTTCTTTCCCTTCCCTTCCTCCCCCCTCCCTGCAACTAAACTGTTGCCCCTCAGTCACTCCTCCTGCCCCTCTTCTTGTATTTCCACCCTGCCCACACAGGTGTGCTCTCTGGGGCTTTGCAGGGCTGTTCCGTCTGAGGTGTGAAAGCAGCCTGCATTGGGCTTCCAGTTTGCAGTCTGGCGGACAAGGAAAACAATTGCATTCCTGGGTGGATCAGGACAGCCTCTCCCCTCCTCTAATCTCTTCCAGCCCTGCTCTGCCTAATTCTCCCAATCGGCTAACTAAACAAACGAATCCATTAACTTCCCTGGAGTGACAGACAAATGACAGCTCTCAACCACCAGTGAGCGTAGCCTCCTTTAGCCCCGTGGCTCCAACCCACCATCCGATTCCCCGGAACCAGGTTGGGCCCTTAGAGAAGGGGGGGTGGGGGGGGTCAAATGTGAGATTAAACTAACCAAGGTTTAAAGAACTGACCCAAGCTTAATACTCTTACAGTCCTTTTCCTTATCGGAAGACCCAAAAAAGGAACTTTCTTAATAAAGAACCCTTCTTCGTTGTTTTAAGCATAGGAACGGGCCCCGTTTCCTCCACTGCCCCAGTTAAAGTTATTTTAAAGTAGAGGTAGTCCCCGATTTACAACATTTCATTTAGTGACTGATCAGAATTCCAACAGGCACTGAAAAAATGGACAGTTTTTCATTCCTATGACCGTTGCAGCATACGTGATCAAAATTCAGATGCTTGACAACTGACTCATTTATGATGGTCGCGGTGTCCCGGGGGTGGGGGGAAGGATGTGTGTGTGTGTGTGTCACGTGATCCCTTTTTGCAACCTTCTGATCAGCAAAGTTAATGGTGAAGCCAGGTTCACAACCCTGTTAGTAACTTCTAAGATGAATTACGGTCATTAAGCGAGGACTACCTGTACAGAGGGCTTCTTCTACCCAGAAGTTCTCTTCTGCAGGCTTCTGAGATTCTACAGGAAAGACCCGTCTTCCCCTGGTAAAGAAGGGATTCAGCAGTTCATCGCTGTGGGGCTGACTGGTTCATCCAGATCAGGGGTCTCCAACCTTGGCGACTTTAAGACTTGTGGACTTCAACTCCCAGAATTCCACAGCCAGCAAAGCTGAGTTGAAGTCCACAAGTCTTAAAGTCGCCAAGGTTGGAGACTCCTGATCCAGATAAATATTGGAGCAAGGCCTTGGTCAACCATGGATGGAATCACCAGTGGGTCATAGCCATCGCGCCATTCTTTGAAGCTCCAGCTGACAGCTCCTCCCTCTCCCTCCCTCCCTCCCTCTCCCTTCTCTCCCTCTCCCTCTCTCTCCCTCTCTCTCTCTCTCTCTCTCTCTCTCTCTCTGATGGGATTATGAGTAGGCAGTCAAGCTGTCAGGCTCCCCACGCCAAGACTCAACAGTCATTTCCAACTCTCTTGACCCTACATGGCTTGGGACTTGACACTAGACCCAGCTTGGCAAGATAAGGGTTCTTCCTGCAGATAAGCATCAAGCCACAGAGGAGTGGGTTGACTTCCCATTGCTAGTGAGAGTGTGCAAATGCCTTTGATGCCTTCGGGGAGTTGAAACTTTTGTTGTTTTTAACTCCCAGCCTTCCTACGAATTAGCAGAATCTTGGCAAGGTGCTTTTGTGCTGGAAACTGAACGGGTGTTACATGTTTATGTAGGCCTGAGAACTTCTGATTCCTCACCTCATGTTTCTCTCTCTCTCCCTCCTTCCCTCCCTCCTTCCCTTCCTCCTCCTCTCTCTCCCTCTCTCCCCCCTCTTTCCCTCCCTCCTTCTCTCTCTCCCCCCTCTTTCCCTCCCTCCTCCTCTCTCTCCCTCTTTCCCTCTCCCTCCTCCTTTCCCTTCCTCTCTCTTTCTCCCTCCTTCCTTCCCTCTTTCCCTTACTCTCTCTCTCCCTCCTTCTCTCCCTTTCCCTTCCTCCTTCTCTCTCTCCCTTCCTCCTTCCCTCCTTCTCTCTATCTCCCTCCTTCTTTCCCTCTTTCCCTCCCTCCTTCTCTCTCTCCCTTTGTCTCTCCCTCTTTTCCCTTCCTCTCTCTCTCCCTCCTCCCTTTTTCCCTCCCTTTCCCTCCCTCCTTCTCCCTTTCCCTCCCTCCTTCTCTCTCTCCCTCTCTCCCTCCTCTTTCCCTCTCTCCTTCTCTTTCTCCCTCTCTCCTTCCCTCCCTCCTTCCCTCCCTCCTTCTCTCTCTCCCTCCTTCTCTCCCTCTTTCCCTCCCTCCTCCTCTCTCTCCATTTATCTCTCCTCCTCTTTTCCCTTCCTTTCTCTCTCCCTCCTTCCCTCCCTTTTCCCTCCCTCTCTCCCCCTCCTTCTCTCCCTTTCCCTCCCTCCTTCTCTCTCTCCCTTTCTCCCTCCCTCTCCCTTTTCTCTCCCTCTCCCTCCCTCCCTCCTTCTCTCTCTCCGTCTCCCCACTCAGGGTTTAAGATGAGTGTTCAAATATTCAAATATAGATCCTTCTCTCAGGTCTTTCTCAACCTTGGCAAGTTTAAGATTGGGTGGACTTCAACTCCCAGAATTCCCCAGCCAGCATGAATCTTGCCAAGGTTGAGAAAGACCAGAGAGAAGCATCTATATTTGAATGTAAACGAAAGGCTACTTTCTCTTGTGTATTGTTTAGCTTTCCCAGAGGTCAACCACAGAGTCTTGCCAGCAACATTATTATCATGTTGTAACCACCTTGCCTGCAGCCTTAATCCAGCCAAGAGGTGATATATTTGGGATGCTTTGGGAATAGATGGGCTGTTTCTCATGACAAACTGATCATGTCTAGCAGAGGAGGACGAGCAGGAAAATGCTTGTAAGCCTTTAGATGGGCGACAAAGCTCAGAATTTGAAACTGTTCTTTTGATAATGGCATAATGAGGACCCAGTTTGTGGGGGCAATAAGCTGACTTTGTATAAAATATACAAAAGAATGAAGGCTATTGCTTAACGCATTGTAAGCCGCCCTGAGTCTCCGGAGAAGGGCGGCATATAAATCAAATTAAAAAAAAATAGAGAGTGACCATGCCTTTGGCTGCAGATCAAAACATTATTTTTCATCCAGATATTCTACATGGAACAGGCGCAAAATAATAATAATAATAATATATAATAATAATATTAATAATAATAATAATAATAATAATAATTTTTGGAGAATGATCAGTGTCCCCAGAGTAAAGACTTTAAGTAGGGGGACCTGGAAAACTGAACCTTGAGAAAATTGAGTTTAAGGGGACCTGAGAACACTCTTCAAACACCCCAAAGGCTTCACGATGAAGAGAATCATTATCTGTCCTTTGTCCTCTCCAAATGAAGGGGACTGAAATGGTCTTAAAATTGCCGGAAAGCCCAAGCTTTCCAACTGATGGCTTTGAAAATGTGTTAATGGGATGGGGAACTTGACAATGTAGAGAATGCTCAAGGGGTTGATTGATTCATTATGGACCATCAAGTCATTTGCAACTCTTTGTGATCAGATAGATTGTGGTTTTTTTTCTTTCTTTCATGGTGATCTGTTCCTAACCTGTTCTTTCAACTAAGGATTCCCTTAATTGGGCCTTTCCAAACCAAGGTGGATGAATATTCAATGGAGGACGCTTGGATTGGCCAGCTATGATTCTCTTAATACAGTGTTTCTCAACCTTGGAAGCTTGAAGATGGGTGGACTTCAATTCCCAGAATCCCCCAGCCAGCAGCGCTGGCTGGGGGATTCTGGGAGTTGAAGTCCACCCATCTTCAAGCTTCCAAGGTTGAGAAACACTGTATTAATATATATATGTTTAAAAGGACTATTCAGTGGTGAACTTAAAAAAGCATTTATATTTGATGTATTTGTGCAATTTTTACAGCTGCCCAACTCAACCAAGTGGCTCTGTACAGCTTACAATTCTGAATTAATGAAACAATTCCAACAGTAAAAAAAAACCACCACCACCAAAATACGGTTTTCTTAAGTAGTAATGCAGCAAAAACATATTACTTAGAAATGTTTAAAGTCAGGTATTTCTAGACATTTCATCAGAAAAATGAAAACTGCAGCGATGGGTCCAATTATTTAATCTGGCCAACTGGTCCTCAAATTTTCTCATATGGTTTTTCACACACCCCAGTTCTCTTTATTTGACTGTCCTAGATAAGAGCATCTTTCAATATTTAACAGATGTTAACATTACTTAAGTTTTTCCTGCAATGAAGTCTTATCAACCTGACAGCTGTTTTACACAGTGCATAGCAACCAATAGTAATAACAATTGGATTGATATTAGATTTATATACCGCTTTACAGTGCTTTACAGCCCTCTCTAAGCAGTTTACAGAGTCAGCCTATCGCCCCCAACAATTTGGGTCCTCATTTTACTGACC